ACCACCACCACCACCACCACCACCACCACCACCACCACCACCACCACCACCACCACCACACATCAGCACTCACACACCGCAAGCACCCAACTGCCATCTCCCACGCAAGTGGGAAGTGTGCATCTCGACTCGGTCCCCATGCGGCTTCGGCAGCACGGGTGACTTGAGCCTGAGACTATCTCGACATGTCAAGCGTCGTGGATAGAAAGGTTGCTGATTGACGCCCGCACTCGGTCCACGCAGTTCGTCCCGTTGTGTATGTGTTGTGTGGAATGGCGGACTGTTGGACTGGGCGACGGGCTGAAACAGCACTTTCCACGGCCCTCTCACGCAAGTAAGAGACACGCCGTTCAACCCCCGTTGTGTGAAATCCTGGTGTTTGTGTGTATGGGGGCCAGGTCGTGCTCGTGGCGCGCGCAGGCATGGTCAGTCGACCATGTCAGCCACCGCGCCCATTCCCCACTCCAGTCTGCTGACCGGCTCGGACAGCGGCTGCGGTGTGCTAATGGGAAGGGAGAGTGAAGTCGACGACTCAGCGCATTTTCTCCTCATTATAAACAATCTGACGCGCTTGAAGCTATCACGGTGCGCTAAAAGCCGTGGCTTGGAAGGTTGCCAACTGACGGGGTAACTTAGACCTCCTCCTCGACTGGTGGGGGTCTGAGAGTCAGGCTCCAATGGCGCCTTCTTAATGTGGCCTTTATGGCACTCCCACCACAGTGTGGGATCCGAGCCAGGCGTCGGCGACACGCCTAGGTGCGGCTTCGGCCGTGCCAGCCTCCAATCTCGGTTGTGTTGGTTGAAATCCTGGTTATTTGTTGTGTGGACCAGGGGGTGTGGTGGAACGCCAAGGTAAGGATCCGTCCGAGCCATCCACCTGCGGCCTCCCTCGTCTCCGGTCTTCGTGACTCTGTCTTGACACCGGGCCCAGGCGGGGGAGGAGGAGAGAGTGTAGGTAGATGCAGCGCAAGTCTACCGGCACTATAAACCCCTGCGCAAGTCACCGTCCCTGCTCCCACCGCTGCTGCAGCTGTGGGGCACACGGTGGACATAATTGAAATCGATGGTCGAACTGTCAGTAGTAGTAGTAGTAGTAGTAGTAGTAGTAGTAGTAGTAGTAGTAGTAGTAGTAGTAGTAGTAGCAGCAGCAGCAGCAGCAGCAGCAGCAGCATATTCACTGTCAAACGGGACTTGATGCTAGTGTTTTCAGTGTGAAATTCACAGAATTATACAGTAATTGCCGTTATGTCTATCGGGAGCTTCTGCGAGTTTAGCCGTTAAGGGGCTATTTCAGTAAACGAAAGCTACTAAGGGTTGCAGATCGCGTTACTTGGGCCGTTCAGTGGTAAGTGGTGATCTTTTACAATGAAATGAATGTTGATTTGGATAGTCCAGCCGGTTGGAGTTACCACTGGCGTGACCCAGGCAAGGCGTCCGATATCTTCAGTTGACGATAATGTGTGGCTGCGTGATGTCGGGGGGATTTCCGTTCCACAGATGCAAGAAGAGTTGGCGTCTTGACATCTAAAGCGGTATGCTCAGTCATGCATTCAGACGCCCCCTGATCAACTACTACGCTTTGTGATACAATACCTTGGACGTGTGGGCTACAAGGGCTACAGAAGTATTGAGACGGAGATAGTGACTGTCCCTCTCTGAGCACGATCTTCACACAGTTGGGAATATGCTAAAACTGTTATTCAGGCGTGTATATCGCAATTATCGAACTTACCAGTCGAAACATTCTATTCAGCAAGTATGGAATACCTTGAATGAATCGGAATTCAAACGTTTGATTAACGGCACGAATAAACCTCGTTTTAAAATCCCCAAGTGAAATGGAGGTGTTCAGTCGCCATCGTCAGGGCCTCACAGTCCTGAGAATACGGGGATCAGAACAGGAGGTTGGATCACGGACCGAAATTAAGTGCTTACAACACAACTTGCTAGTTTACAGTTTCCCTAGTATACCCTTTCGGGGAGAAAGCTGACTCCAGATATCAGACGATCTCACGGAAATCTCAATGCTACAAAAACGAAACTTATCTTTCGAGCGGCAAAAAAGACAATCGCGCGTGACTATTCAGCCACCTCCGTTTTCTATGGAAAAAAGGACATGCTTGGGACCCCCCTCCAATAAGTTAACTTTAAAATGTACTAGAGGGTCTACTTATCGGTTCTTCTATAAAGACCGAATCAGTTAGGGAATGTTTGGCAGTTAAACTCTCGGAGGTGAAAAACAGACCAACATCATTCTTACGGTCTTCCGTGCATCAACAAGCCGAATGGTCTCCCCGGATTTAGTCAGTTCTGAGACTTTGCATGGAGAAAATAGTTAGAAATGAGGAAAGGGCATGATAAACGCTGTTTTCAATAACAGCATCGCCGACCAAAACTGCCGAATTATTATTTCGCCAATAACCAGTACGGGTAATCAAATTGTTGCAATTAACCACTCGGATGAGGGCGAGCAAGCGATCATTACATCAAGTAGGACTGTCACGATAATTGCAAGAGTCGTTAATTTGGATAGGCAAGCAGTTATACAGCAACTGTATCCTACGCATCCCGTAACCTTTGGTCGACTACTGCACACGAGTGTGGACCTGAAACCTCAGGTAAATAAAATTCCTGTTTCATCTCTCTTACCTCGAGAGTCTTAATTCCAACCGACATCGATTATTCTACTGAAATACTTTAAGTACATACTATTTAAAAAGTCAATTGGCTAACATATGTTTTCGGTAAATTCTCATCAGGCCTGTACATTTACTAGGGAAGTGATCAGTCTAATTGTCGACAGGGTATAAATGTGTCTCGGGGGCAGAGTTAATCGGACTCCATGTTCTCACGCCGCCCGCATGACGGAGTCAGCGTGTTGAGGACGTACATACTATTTGTAAAAAAACGGTGGCCGATCTGTGCATAGTCGCGATTCAGAAGAAACAAGCACTATGACAGTTCGGCCGTCGTTGCCGAGGATGTCCACCGTGTGCAACTCAGCCAGGCGAAACACTGACGGGAACATGTGTTTGGATTAGGTTGTAATGATAATATACCTGCTCAGCATCTACCGCACTCTCTCCTCCTCTCCCCAACTGCGCCCTCTGTCAAGACAGAATCAATATGACCGAAGTCGGGGAGAGCGCAAATGGATGTCAGGGTCGGGCCCGCACCTTGGCGCTTTACTCCACATCCCCTGCTCCAAACAGCAAATGACGAGAATCTTAACCAACAACAATAAGGGAGGTCGGCAGGGTTCCCACTGTGCGCGACGTCAGCCGGCAACGCGGTCTGCCAGTTGGCATCTTTTATGGTGCTCATTCCGATAATGCCTGCTAGTATCCGATATGGGCCCCGTGCTATTCCTGGGCATCTTCAGGTGGTCCGTTTGGGGGACAGAATGAACTAAACTCCGATAGGTTTTGCAGGGATTGACTTCTATGACCAAACCACTCCCGGATTTTGAGCGGATGTTTTCTCCAATGCCACTGAAACTAAGATCATATGTGATAACACGTTTAGAGCTCGCTATGATGATCACGAATATAAGCGGTATTATGTAGGCGAAGTTCCTGGTCGACTTTATCCTACATTGTTGTGTTTCACCCTATGAGGAAGGATGGTAGGTTAGCTGGAATGCGGTCGACTGGATTAGCGGTCCTTGATGTGGCATGGGGGCAGAGCTCAATTGGCCATGATTGTAGGCCCTCAAAATGGGCGTCTAAGTCATCATGGCAGTTAGTACTGCTTGCATTGGAGCACCGAGTCTCAAGGAATTCACGCGCTCGTTTTGTGTTGGCCACGATAGCCACCTCAGTGTCATCTCTATTAAATCGGTTGTCGAGTTTGCTTGTGTGAGCAAGGGCGAAGGGCGGTGGGTGACGGTGACGGGCAGTAGGTTTGCGTCCATGAGTAAGAGTGCCCATGCGTCGGCCGTATGACCAACATACACGCAGGGGCAATTAGCACACGGGATGCAATGGGTCACATTTGTTTTTTGCTCTATTAGGATATGATACTTTATTCGAGAGAATTCTGACTTGTGGGCAATGTGGATGGCGAACAGATGTAATTGCCGG